TAGATTTCCTTCTTTAGTATTATCATCGGCCTCTGTTATTTTTTATTGTTACTTTATGAGACCCCCCCCCCTTTTTATTTTGACCTCCATTTGAGTTCTGCCATTTTTATCTTTCCATTACCCTGTTTCTGCAGTCTTTAGAGCCCATAGATGATTTTTATCAACGTTCTGAAAATATACTTCTGATTACGATCGAACTTTATTGTGCAAGTTTGTTTACTTTGTCGTGTTTGAACAGTAAACATGCAACGATTATTATCTTTTATCTCGTGATTACCAGAATATTGCATTTTATCTATTTCGATCTTAGCTTTTGCCTTAATTAGCAGGAAGGCAGGCAAACATTCAATTTTGTGGCTCTCGCATATCCTCATATCTTCACATCCACTATCACAACTTATAACTTGCTTACTCTGAATCGGAGTTATGAATATCAGGACCACTTAGACGTCGCCTCTACTATGGTTACGATCTCCTTTCATTGTATAGGGGTTGTTGGACCTCGTTTTCGCAACTTGCTCGCATTGTCAGAGAGACCTACATGCCCTAACCTTGTCCGGAGTTCTCTGAGAGTATAGTCATGATCATTGTCAGCGTCTGACCACCGTAGACTCTGTATATTCCCCATTAAATGCCACGCCATCTTGTTCTTGATACATTCGATTGAAAATAAGCAAGTTAAAAGTTGTGATAGTGAAGGGGGCGATTCGAAGATATGGGACATGCATTTATCAGGACAGGGCAAGACACTACAACTATTCGGCAGATAATTGGCCAAGGGGTGGATTTCACTTGTCGCTTTGATTAGTGGCAGCTTTCTGCTAACACTGGCAAGATCACTGACGATTTCGGCGAAATGTTTGAGAATGTATCAAGTCCACAGTCCGGCACTGGGAATTTTTGAATAAAATTTGATTTGCCTTAGGACGCTTAAGATATAGCAGATGATATCGGTCACTGAGTTTCACAAGACGAAACAATTAAAAGATTACATAGTTCCATGATTTATTCAGTCAAATCTAAGAGTCCTTCTATAATTGTGAATTATGATAGTCCTGGGCTTTTTCGAACGTATCATCTGCGTGGCGAATTTCAGTTAAATTTGGCATTAATAGCCATTCATACATTTGGTCTTTTGATGGAACTTTTTTTCTACACCCAAATATCTTCCGGCTCTTTATTTTTTCCATATGCCTTGCTCAGGTGAAGAATCCAGCTAACAATCTGTGCCTGGATTTACTTGAAAATTCTGAGTCCTCCATGGGAACTGTAGATGCTGGACTTTACCCATGTGCGGTAGACATGCGCCCTGTCCAGATATTCGGTTTGTCACTGACGGGTATGGTGCGACGCGAGACAATCTGCCTGACCGTTGGCTTTTCTTCTTCTCTAGCCCCCCCTTTGCAAATAGCCAAACTGATGAAATGTCCGCTCGACTACAATGAGCCTAAAAGTCACCACGACAATATAATGGAATGGCAAGTAAAGCAGCGGGCCGCTTACCTGGCCCGAAGTTCCAACGAGTCCATGCTGCCTGATGGTGCTCAGCTTCAGGGAATCTCAGAGCCTCTATCAGTCAGAAGCCCTGAATTTTATTGGTTCTATAATCAGGTAATGCGATATTAGTCGCTTAACTTAAACCTTTAATGTAACTGCCAACAAATTCACGGAATTTCTCTTATTTTCTCCTCGTCATTGTTGAACCCTTTGCCCCATTTAGCGCTTATTTCGCTCAACATAGTAAAAGTTATACGGATCACCCTTGGCTAATTAGTAAGCGTTATTCTTTATCAGAGAAGAGTTGCCCTTTATTTGAATATTTATAACGTGGGTGCAGTATTTTAAAAGCATGCTGAGGTTAGGCGTAATTAAAAGTTTGTCTATTTCAAACAGTGCCAAAATTCTGCGATTAAATTAAGAGCCGCACTTTCTTTATCTTTGTGTCTACACTCAAAGATAGTATCTAACCATGGATATGTGAAAATATCTTATCGTTGCACTAGAGAGATTATGCCCTAAAGCGAAATACTCACAGGATAATCCTATTTCTACGGGTAACTGGTGTCATTTGTAAGAATGTTTGTGGTGAATGTGGACGAGATCAACATTCAATACTATGGAACCGAAGTTTTTTAGTTGATGGTACTCAAACAACTAGTAAAACTTATGGACATTTCTTATCGCAAGATTTCAGACGAAAAATATCAAGAAGTGGTTCGATCTCGTCTTCACACCATGATCG